ACTCACCGTCTTCATTTCCACAGCATACCTCCCCTCCATTGACTTCTGGCCTAGGTACTGCGTACTGATTCTCCATATTGTGTATCAAGTGGGAGAGGTATGGTCGCAGGCGCAGTCGTCATCTGCAGATGGTGCCGGTGCAAGGGAGGTCCACCACGCCTCAGATGCCCACTCATCAGCCTATAAGGTGTGTGCTGCCAGGTCATACAGCCCTCATATCTGGATAATGCCTGCTTATTGAACCTTATCGTATCAAACCTAATATCACAGCCTGGCAGCGCATGCAAGCGCACCCACGGCGGGATATTGAACCAGGGCTGACATGGCAAGAAATTTACCACTTTCTTGTAGTGAAATGAGATGGGAGAGGTGAGAGCTGAATTGAGTGAGCCATTCTCCCCTCGCACAATAGGTCTTTCCTTGCTGGGCAATGGACATTTCTTTGCCGTGTGGACTGTCACCACATCTGTGCAGAGCAGTCTCTGAAGAGAAGACGCGTGCCCGACCGTTCATGCATTCACGTCCAGGATCTAACTCCGCAGCGAAGCAGAAGAGATAGCACAGCATACACCGCACGCACGCCCATGAGCGCGTGGCCGATAGGGCGTGTCTTCTGATACACGCAAAGTACCACACACACAGGCTTCTACAGCGCCTCGAGGTGGTCTATGTGGTCTGAGATAAACATGTTGGTATCTGCGAGTGTACTTGCATAGAAGGAAGAAAACGATACTCCGCCAAATGCTGAAGGGCCTGGCCAATGGAATGGAATCAACAAGGCACGCGCGTGAGACAAGGGCCCACACCACTCACCTCTGAGCGCGATGGTCTCAGTCATGGTAGACGTGCACAGCATCACAATCAGATTTACGAGAATGAGAAGAGTGACTAAGCCGTACTCGCCGTCTTGGAAATGAAGTCTTCTGCAGAAAGGCGCCCGGGAGGTTTGCTTTCTACTGAATCGGTTTGGAAGGCGTAGACAACATGCTCATCTCCTGGCTGATGACTAACTCGAGAGTGGGCTGGGAATTCGTCCATGAAATTCCGCTGCGTCGTGATCCAAACGCGTCGACGGGGTACCATCGTCAGAATGTCCACAAGCTGCAGTTGAAGCTGCCTATTCGCGCTCGGATTCTTCCCGGCTGTGCGCTTCGCTGTACATTGCGTCGGACGCCCACGCGCCAGCGAACGGGGTGCGTGGCGTAGCTGTGCATTCATCGCAAGTCAAAGTCTGGACAATGGTGACATTTAGAGCGCAAGGCAGCCACAATGCGGATTGACCCAAGGTGCATGCACCAGTCCCTGTTTGATGGAGCCAATGAGATAATGCTGCACGGAGAAAGCAAAAACTTCACATGTAGAGGACGACGCCATGCGTGGAAATGCGAGGAGAGTCTGCAAGGAAAGAGGACAACAATGGCGACACGACGCGAGGCGCGAGGCACATGGGCCCAAATTCAACTTCCTCCGCTCTCCGGATGACTTTTGCGCGATTACCGAACTGCACAAATAAGTATTTCAATTGAAGCTAAGCTCCCGCGGATGCACACTAACACGCGAGAAGCCGCTGCACGGAGTGAGAACGCAAATTGGTTGGTTTGGAACTAGTATCTAACTCTAGTAAGCTGTCGTTCACAGAGGAGCGGCGTGAGGCGAGACGGTGACTCGCGAGGCTAGCGCATAACTTTGTGGCTGTCAGTTGCAGTTGGTGCTGATGTCATGCACGGGAAGGAGTCATCCTTTTGCGAATACAAAAGTTGCTCATCATTCGCTCATTGTGCAACAGCAGGGCCACCTGAAGCTGGACTTGTTCTCTGGGAATATCGATGCCATTGGGTCGCTTGCTGTGCGTGTAGCGCACTGTTGAACAATGAAGGTCATGGTGCAGCCAGATGACTGAGTCAAGCTTTCAGGAGGGAGTTGTTGAGGAACGAACTAGGGTAAGATTCCTATCTATAACGCTATATGGACATGAGGAAGCACTCTTTACCCAGATCAGATAAGGATTAGATAACTAATTTCAGGATTTAGTAGAGCAGGTAAACACCGTACGTTCAACGCGCACTTCCCGCTTCAAGAACCTTAGTGAGTCTCGGGACAGCTGCATCCCCAGGTCGTCCTGCGCCTCCGCCGCAGTGTTGGGCGCTGCTCGTCTGTGATATCTCCCATCTCTGTTCCGACCTTCTAATGCCACAAGCACACGGCTGCATTGTAGATTTCGTCGTGGTGGTGGAGACAAAAAATCCACCAGAACTCTTGTTATGCGCCTAACGAATACTCATGCACAAGCACAATAAGCTCGACTGGAGCGCAATATACGCAAGAAATGACATGCGGTCTCCTTACATTCGAATGTATAGTCAGCTTTACGGTGAAAGGAAACACGCGTCTCAAACTATCAAACTTAAACAAGTACAGACAGCAGGAAGAATCTAGGTGGCCCACAATATGCAAATCTTCAGTGAAGTCCATAGTTGGCACAACATTATACGAGCTCCTCCACTTGAACAGACACAAAAGACCTAGGATACAAATGAGTACTAGTATTAGAAGGAATATAGAATTCGGAGACAGTCCATAACAAATGTAAATGTTTACTCACGCAAGTCGTCCACTGGCATGTACAACAGGGAGACTAGATGCAAAGTGACTCCCCCAGGACTCCTCGGATATCACCTCCATCACTTCGCTGCGCCGAGTATGACAGTGAAGCTTGAAGGTGACTCTTTTCAAGGCAGGATACTGACGACTAGAGAAAACCTGGTCAAGAAGTGCATATGAGTCCTTGTCGACTTCATTCAGCGTATTCCGGATAATTGACGAGAATAATGCCCGGGTAGAATGGGGGATTAAGACGATCGTAATTTCGGTCAGTTTGGGAAGGAACGCGCGAGACAAAACCATTGCCGCTTTATGCAAGTTTTTGAGGTATAAGGAAATTGAAAAGACACGCAGATTTACAGCTGGTGTAAGATCAATTGGCAAGTCTGAGGGGAATCCTACAAGACGTCAACCGGACTTGCACTGTGTCGTCAATAAACCGCCCTGGCGACTCACCTAACGTGGAGATAAGACCTAGTAGCTCGATGTGCAGAGATGAGAGCGACTCGGCGGTCACACGGAGCAGCTCCTGGCACTTCTCCAAGCTCCGAGCATACCGGGGCAGGTGGGATAGTTGTGCGCCAATCAAGATGAGGAAGTCAACGACATCATCGCTGCCTACCATTTCGGCAGCGTCGAGCCGGAGGGGATATAATTTCCAGATTCGGCCCGCAACATCGCTATGCTTGTTGAAGGACACATCCCAGCATTTGAGGGACGACAGCCGCGGAAGTGCACGCAGAAGCCGGCCAAACACTACCGCAGACGGGACTCGCACCCTCTCGAGCTCGAGCATCCTGACTGACTCGAATGCGAGAGTGATGTGGACGAAGACCTGCGCATGCAGCTGTCGAGGCTCCCACTCGCACCCCCTGAGTAGGAGATGCTTGACTGAGGGCAGTTTCTGTGCCATGCACACAGCAAATGTCCCAAAGATGCTCATCGACTTCCCCTGGAAATGGAATGAGACTGTCCTGATGGCATGGCAGCGCTTGGTGTCCTGGTTCAGTTTGTTGATGAGGTGATAGACCTCTGTCTTGTCCATGCGATGTACATCAAGCCTCTCGCAAGTACGAAAGCGGCATCGGGCATACCACCCCCGACATACCCTTCCTAGTACACGCAGCCTCGCTTCATATGGCACGTCACGCCACAACACATCGACCCATTCGTCCGCCAGAACATCAATCACCTTCTCCCATAGTTCAATTGGAAGCTGAATCGAATGCTCAAGGGGCATATCAGCATCCAGCTGAGCAATGCTTGGCATAGAGCCTAACGATTTAGCTCTGCCATCTACACCTACGATGCTCAACGATAATGCATATTGAAAGCGTCGCATGCACTCACTGTCTCCATTTTCACAGCACATCTCTCTTTCCTCGGCTTGTGGCTCAGACACCGGTTCATTATCTCGTGCATTGAGTCGAATAAGCCGGGTTGCAGGCGGAGACGACATCTGTAGATGGTGGGAACGAGAGAGGTGTACCATGCCTCAGAGGTCCTTTCCCCGGCCTATAAGGTGTATGCTCGCAGGTCATACAGCCTCAATGCCCGGAGAATGTCCGCTCAGTGGACATCGATGACCACGTGGCCGATAGTGCATGTTGTCTGATACGCGCCAAGTACCACACACAGGCTTCTACAGAGCCTCACGGTCCTCTATATGGTCTGAGAGACACACGTTGAGATCTGCCAGTGTACTTTCACAGAAGGATGGCAAATATACCCCGCCAAGTCCTGAAGAACTAATGGAATAGAATTAACAGGGCGCGCTCGCGGGACAAGTGCCCACACCGCCCACCTCTGAGCGCGATGATCTCAATCATATGAAGTGCGCACAGGCATAGAATCACATTGACGAGAACGAGAGGAGAAAATAAACCATTCTCGCCGTCATAGAAATAGGGGCCTCTATAGAAATGTCCGGGGGTTGTGCTTTCTATCGAATAATCTCGGAAGGCGCAGACAGCACACTTATCTCCTAGTTGAAGACCAGCTCGAGCGCGGACTGTGTCTTGAACTCAGCGCATCGACGAAGTACCATTGGCAGCGTGACCATAAGTTGCAGTTGGGGTTGCTTATTCGTGCTGGAATCGTTCCCAATTGCGCGCTTCGCTGCACATCGCATCGGACGCCCACGCGCCCAGCGGGCAGGGTGCGTGGCGTAGCCGTGTATTCATTGCAAGTCGGAGGCTGGGAAATGGGGAAATTCAGATAGCGAGGCGGTCAGCAGGCGAGACCACTGATGCTTTGTGGGACGAGGAATTGGGCGAATGCGATGGAAGATTTTGCGCTGGAAGAGCCTGGAAGCCCATATGGGCGGTGGAATGTATGCGACATGTTCTTCTGCGTGTATGTCCATGCATGCACACCTTCCTGCCAAGTGTCAGCGCAGATACCGCTTTCAGTGTTATGTTAAATTACATATCATTATCTCACCGTGCCCTCTTCGAACTGTGCGAGATAATGATGTGAGATAGTGTCTGAGATAGGTATAAGGCGTGAGACTGGTGAGCATTGAGTTTGTCCTGCATCGTTGTGCTGCGCTGAAGATGAATTGCTCCGCGATGATCAAGCGTTCCACGTTCCACGCCTGCAATTATTGGTCGGTATTCGAACACCAGACCACACACCAAGATTTCAAGAACCTTCCATCAAGTATGTGAACCCCCCGTGTTTTACCCCACTTCTCGCCTACTTGAGGGCTCCACGTTGTTTCTGAATATCCAGGTCGGCCGCCTTAATTCGCTAAGGGCTCCTTGCATGTGGTGATCATTCCATTCAACGAGCGGGGCCAGAAACCGCCAGAGCTTTTTGGGCTGTCTGTTGAGAAATTTGGGTTGACCTAGGTACACCCACCAGTCCCTGTTGGATAGATCCCATGAGATAATGCTACAGGAAGAAAGCGTAAAGCGTCACATGTAGAGGATGAGATCGTACGTGGAAAGCGAGGAGAGTCCATGCGAGGAAAGAGGACAACAATGGCGACACGACGCGAGGCACGAGGCACATGGGCCCGCCCATTTCCTTTCTCGGCTATCGTAATACCTTCCTCACCCGGGCACAAGTTCCTCCGCTCTCCGTGTACGTAAGTCTGGCTAACTTGAATCCAAAGAATGCATGCACGCGAAAATTATCGGACTGCATAAGCAAGTACATCTATCAAAGCTAAGCTCCCCAGAATGTGTGCGTACCAGTAGGAGCAAGGTGAAAACCAGAATGTATATCCGCGGTATGCGAAGTTTTCTTGACACAAGCAAGCCACTGGTATGCGGAGTGCAGGAAATTTCGACAAAGTTTGACTCCACGTTGATGTCAGTCTGGCTCCGATCTCGGTCAGGTTGGGAAGAAATGCACGAGACAACATTCGTCCTACTCTGGCCAAGTAATCAAGCTTCAAGCTCAACAGTGAATGGCAAGACACATAGGCTGAGCGCTGGGGTAAGATCAATCACAGAGGCTGGGGAACGCATCCAGACGACATCAACCGGCAACATCACACAGCGTCATGAACAGCCGACTCGGACGCAGGGAGCGCTGCTTCGAGCGCCTTGCCCGGTTCTGGCCAAGCCATGTGAGATGAAGGAGACGTGCGCTGATCAAGACGAGAAAGTCGACGACGTCATCGCTGACTTTGAGATTGGCGGCGTCGAGTCGGAGAGGATGCTGCTCCCGGATTTGGCCTACGACATCGCAACGGTTCTCAAAACCCATACTCTGGCATGTGAGGGATGAGAGGGGTAGGAGTACACGCACAGGTTGCCCAAACACAATGGCAGGAGGGAACGTCACATCGAAGGGTTTGAGCATAGTCAATATGGACGAAGACCTGCGTATGAAGCCTCTCTGACACCCACTTGCCATTCTGGAGTGCGAAACGCTCTACTTTAGGCAGATTCTGTGTCATGTACACCGCAAACGACCCAAAAGTGTCGACCCTCCTCGTGAGCCTGATTGAGACCATCCGCATCCAGTCTGTGCACAGGACCTCGTCCTTCCAGTAATCCGCCGCACGGTCAATCACTTTCTCATATTGTTCAATCGGAAGGTGGATCGAATGCTCAAGGGACTCGTCAACGTCCGGTCGAGTGACAATCTTCAGCCCGGAGACTTCAACGGTGGAGAGCTCGGCATTCCTACTTGTACCTGCGAAGCCTAAAGATAGTGCACATTGAAAGTGTCGCACACGCTGTGTTTATTTCCACTACGCATATCCCTTCCCGCGGCTTCTGGTCCAGACATCGACTCGTCGTATCGAATATCAGGAAGAGGTGGGGATGACATCCGCAGATGCTGGGAGAGAGAGAGGCGATGATGTCTAACACCCATTCTCCAACCTATAAAGCGGTCTCGCTCGAGACCCACGATCATGATAGCTCGCGATTCGTGCGGCCTATCGAACCTGACAGTATTGCGCTGAATGTACAGAATCCGCATACCAGCATGTACACAAATTGGATCATGGTGTGAGCGAACATTGAGCATTGAAGCAGTCGGTGAGCAGGCTGAGACGTTGAGGGAAAGGAGATCAAAGACTGCGTGTTCGATAAGCCGGCCATCGCATGAACAGCGGTATGGCGCGTGAGGGCGAGAGGAGCGAACCAAGGCTGCACAAAAAAAAACAGAAATTATTTACGTGTCCCATGGCTTAGGAAAATGGAGTAGGTAAAACATGATGTGGGTAGCTCTCACCAACATGGCTATATCACGCAGATACCGACTCCAGCGTTCAGTGCGACACCGCTGAACTCGTTCGACGGGTGGTCCTCACACATATGTCAATTGCATGGACGTAGGTAACATTGCAGAAATTCGACGGTTGTCGGGAAGAGGATAGACGAGCGAAGGGATGTGCCAGCCTATCCGCAGATTGGAAGAGCCATATGGATGGGCATGCAGTAACGCCACGACGGTGGACAAAGGAGCAAGTCTCCGGAGGTTGCGAAATGGAAGCCAGAAGTACATTGCGAGGCATTACGTCCGAATGGACACAGACACAGAGCACCTAGAAACAGAGTGAGTACAGACGGAAGCAATGTGGAATGTGGAGACAACTGCATGCAATTGTTGACTCACACAAGTTGTCCACTAGTATGTAGAGCAGGAAGATTTGATGCAAAATGACTTCTCCAGGACTCCTCGGTTATCACCTTCATCACTTCGCTGCGCCGAGTCTCACAGTGGGGCTGGAAGGCGACCTTTTCTAAGACGGAATACTGATGATCGGTGAAGACCTAGTCAAGAAGTGCATAGGAGTCCTTGTCCACACCATCCAGCCCGTCCTTGATAAATGACGAAGAGAATGCCCCGGTATACACGAGCGTTGAAGTGATTGTAACCTCGGTCAGTTTGGGAAGGAGCACGTGAGACAGAATTTTCGCCACTGTGTCCAAGTCTTCCAGGTGGGAAGAGATCGAAAGGACGCCCAGGTTGACAGCCGGCGTAAAATCGACTAGAAAAGTCTGTGGGCGAAAATCCTAGAAGACGTCAACCGGTGTCGCACTGCATCGACAAGTGGCCTCGGCGACTCACTTCTCCCGAAGAAAGCACGTGGTAGCCCGACGTGCATGGACAAGAGACAAGAGCGATTCGGCGGTCACAGGGAGCAGCTCCAAGCACTTGTTCAGGCTCCGACTACGCCAGAAGAGGTGGCGCAGTTGTGCGCCGATAAACACGAGGAAGTCGGCGACGTCATCGCTACTCCACACTTCAGCGTCGTCGAGTCGGAGGGGATGCAATTCCCAGATTCGGCCTGCAACATAGCCATGCTTCTCAAAGACCACGTTCCAGCATTTGAGAGACGACAGCCGCGGGAGCGCACGCACGAGCCGCCCAAACACTGCCGCAGAAGGGAATAGCGCATCTCTGAGCTCGAGCACAGTGACCGACTCGAATGCGAGAGTGATGTGGACAAAAACTTGCGCGTGCAGCTGTCTAGGCTCCCACTCGCACTGCCAGAACGTGAGACACTCGGTTTGGGGTAGTTTCTGTGCCATGCACACGGCAAATGTCCCAAAGATGCTCGTCGACGTCCTCCCAAAATTGAATGAGACCGTTTTGATGACACGGCATCGCTCCTGGTCCTGGTTCAGTGTGTTGATCAGGTGATACACCTCCGTTTTGTCCATCCTCCTCACATTCAGCCTCTCTAGAACACGAAAGCGGCATCGGGCATGCCACCCACGACACACCCTTCCTAGTTCTCCCAGCATGTCTTCATATGTCTCGTCACGCCGGAAGACGTCCACCCGTTCGTCCGCCAGATAGTCAATCACCTTCTCCCATAATTCAATTGGAAGCTGAACCGAATGCCCATGGGACACGTCAGTTTCCAGTGGGACTCAGTGTTTGACATAGAACCTGAAGATTCAGCTTTGCCGTCTATCCCTACAATGTTCAACAATAACGCATAATATAGGTGTCGCATGTACTCACTGTCTCCGTTTCCACAGCGCATCTCCCCTCTCTCGGCTTGTGGCCCGAGCACCGACTCGTCATATTGTGTATCGAGTCCAAAACGTAGGGTCGCAGACGATGACGACATTTGCAGATGGTGCATGCAAGAGAGGTGCACCATGCCTCAGATGCTCACTCCTCAGCCTTTAAGGTGTTCGCTGTCGGGTCATAAGTACAACCCCGGTGTCTGGAGAAGGACGCTTATCAAATCTTATCGTATTGAACCTGGTATCATAGCCTGGAAGCACATACAAGCGCGCGCACGGTGGGATGTTGAACCAGGGCTGGAGCAACAAGGAAATTACCATCGCAGCTCGAAGTCTGGAAAATGGGTCATTCAGAGCGCAAGGCAGCAGGCGAGGGCACCGACGCTTTGTGGGACCAGGAATTGGGCGAGGTCGATGGAAGACTTCGCTCTGGAGGACCCCGAAAGTTGATATGGACGGTGGAATGTATGCGACATGTTCTTCAGCGCGTATCTGTGTGCATATATGTCTTTCTGCTAAATAGAAATACGGATGCTGCCTCCAGTGTTATGTGGAGTTACATATCATCCGGCTCGATTCCTGTTGACAGCTGAGTCGAATGGAGTTGGGGGTATCTGCATGTAATGCGATTCCATAGGACAAGGAATTAGCCAGTGATACAAATATCTCGCGCAGTTCGAAGAGGGCACGGTGAGGCAGTGTCTGAGGTAGGTATGCGGTAGGTTCATCCCCCATCGTTATGCTGCGTTGAAGATGACTTGCTTGATCACTATCCCCGCGATGCTCGAGTATTACACGCCTGATATTATTGATCAGTATTTAAACAAGAGACTCCACAACTAGATTTCAAGAATCTTCCATCGCGTACGTGAATCCCCTGCGGTTTACCCTCACTTCTCACCTATGTGAGAACTTCGCGCTATTTCTGAAAATTCTTGGTCGCTCATCTGAAGGCATCAAGTGCTCCTTGCATGTGGTACCCATTTTTATCGACAAGCGGGGCGCGAAACCGTTAGAGCTTACGCTGTTTGCTGAGAAATGCGAGTTGACTCAAGCTGCATGTACCAGTCCCTGTGGAATAGAACCGAAGAAATGATGCTACCCGAGTAAAGTAAAAGCTTCACATATAGAGATAAAGTCGGCGTGGAATTGGAAGGATAGTCCATGGGAGGAGAGAGGACGACGATGGCAACGAGGGGAGGCTGGTAGCGGCGCGTGGACCCGCCCATTTCCTTTCTTGGCCATCGCACGCCTTCCTCATCTAGGCTCAAGCTCTTCAAGAAGTTCAAGTCCCTCCGCTCTCCGTCCAGCTTTCCATTGGCCATATACGTGCTTTTGGCTCACTCAAGCTTCAAAGATGCATCTAGGCGAAAATTCTGGACGATTACCGGACTGCACAAGTAAGCGCTTTCATTCAAGCCAAGCTCCCGCGGATACATACCAGAACGCGAGGAGGCGCTGCGAGGAGTGAGAAAGCAAATTAGTTGGTTTGGAACTAGTATGTTAGCTGGTAATCTGTCTCACATACATGAGCGACGTGAGGCAAGACGCCGACTCGCGAGGCTAGCGCGTAACTTTGCGGGTGGTGAACGTGATGTAAACCTCACCAGAACTATTGTTATACGTCTGAAGATGTTGATAGTCACGCGCAGGAACGCACCAATAAATTATTCTAGGACGCGGTATACGCAAGACATGCGGCCTTGATTATGTGGCCTCCTCAAATTTGAATGTTTAGTGTCTTTATAGTGAATGGAGACACTCATCTCAAATTGGTGCACTCAAAATGTACAAGAAACAGGAAGAATCTATGCGGTCCACAATGTGCGAATATTCAGAGTGAAGTACATAGATGGCACAACGTTACGCGAGTTCCTCCACTCTAACAGATACAAAGGGCCTAGGATACGAACGAGCACTATTAGATGCAATGTAGAATTTGGAGACAGTCTATGACATGCAAAAGTTTACTTACACAAGTCGTCCGCTGGTGTGCAGAGCAGGAAGATTTGGTGAAAGGTGACTCCCCCAGGATACCTCGGATATCACCTCCATCACTTCGCTAGGCCGAGGCGCACAGTGAAGCTCGAAGACGACCTTCTTTAAGGCGGGATACTGAGGACTAGAGAAAGCCTGGTCAAGAAGTGCATAGGGATCTTTGTCAACTTGATCCAGCTTGTTCTGGTTAATCGACAAAGATAATGTCTTGGTATAGCCGAGCGTTGAGATGATCGTAATCTCGGCCAGTTTGGGAAGGAGCGCGGGAGACAGAATTTTTGCCGCACTGTCTAAGTCTTCAAAGTCGGAAGAGATTGAAAGGTCACGTAGATTGACAGCTAATGTAAGATCGATTGGAAAGTCTGGAGGAAATCCTAGAAGATGTCAACCGGCCTCGCACTGCATCGACAAGTAGCCTCGGCAACTCACGTTCCCGAAGTGGGAAATGTGCTAGGTCGATGTGCATGGACGAGAGCGATTCGGCGGTCACAGAGAGCAGCTCCGAGCACTCGTCAAAGGTCCAAGCACGCCAGGAGAGGTGGCGTAGTTGTGCTCCGATCAACATGAGAAAGTCAGCGACGTCATCGCTATCCACCAGTTCGGCGACGTCTAGTCGGAGGGGGTGCAGTTCCCAGATTCGGCCTGCAACATAGCCATGCTTGTCGAAGGACACGTGCCAGCATTGGAGGGACAACAGCCGCGGAAGCGCACGCACGAGCCGCCCAAACACTGCCGCAGAAGGGAATCGCACATACTTGAGCTCGAGCACAGTGACCGACTCGAATGCGAGAGTGATGTGGACGAAGACCTGCGCGTGCAGCTGTCTAGGCTCCCACTCGCACTCCAAGAGTATGAGACGCTTGACTCGGGACAGTTTCTGTGCCATGCACACAGCAAACGTCCCAAGGATGCCCGTTGACGTCCTCCACAAATCGAATGAGACCGTCTTAATGGCATAGCATCGCTCCGGGTCGTGGTTCAGTGTATTGATCAGGCAAAATACCTCCTTCTTGTCCATCCTCCTCACATCCAGCCTCTCTAGGCCACGAAAGTGACATCGGCCATGCCACCCCCAACATACCCTTCCTAGTGATCGTACCATGGCTTCATATGTATCGTCATACCAGAAGACATCTTCCCAGTCGTCCACCAAATAGTCAATCACCTTCTCCCATAGTTCAATTGGAAGCTGAATCGAATGCCCAAGCGACACATCAGCATCCAACGGGGCAGTGTTTGACATAGACCCTAAAGATTCAGCTTCGTCGTCTCCTCCTACAATGTTCAACGATGACGCACATTGTAAATGTCGCATACACTCACCGTCTCTATTTGCGCAGTACATCTCCCCTCTCTCGACTTCTGAGCCCAGCACCGATTCGTCATATCGTGTGTCGAGTCGAAGATGTGTGGTCGCAGGTAGAGACGACATCTGCAGATGGTGGGCGCAAGAGAGGCGCACAATGCCTCAAACGTTCACTCCCCAGCCTATCAGTATAAGGTGTTCGCTGTCGAGTCATACATTCCCGATGTCTGGAGAAGAACTGCTTATCAAACCTTATCGTATTAAACCTAATATCACAGCCGGGAAGCACGTACAAGCGCGCGCACGGTGAGATGTGGAATTAGGATTGACCATGGACTGTCGCAACACCTGCGCAGACCAGATGGTGCCCGGCCATTCATGCATCATGTCCAGCACTCTGCTCCGCATCGAAGTGGAAGAGACAGCACAATATACGTGCGCTTTGTTGCACGTCGTGTCGGACGCCCACGCACTGATTGGGGGTGCGTAGCGTAGCTGTGCATTTAACATAAGTCGAAGGTTGGAAAATGGAGGCATTCAGATCGCGAGGCAGCCAGTAGGCGAGAGCACCGACGCTTTTTGGGACGAGGAATTGGGCGAGGGCTCCGGACGACTTCGCGTTGGAAGAGCGGCCTGGCACACGGACTCCACTTTGGCCACCATTTCCTTTCTTGGCGATTGTGCGTCAACGTCCGACGCCCATGGTCAACAACGTTTGCTCTTTAAACTTCCTCGTTCTCTGCCCCGTTTATTCTCCTACCGTATTGGAATTCGAATGTTCATCTATCTCTCAAACATTTTGTGCCTACATAATCAATGACTCGCTTCTCGCATATCCCTCTGTGCCTGGAGGCCTGACATTTTCCAGCAGAAGTTGCGCCAGCGGCCTATCACTCGAGCCCGAGATACGGGTCGGATACCCTCTGAACTGAGATAGTCACACCTTGTTCCACATACATGCCGATAGGGTACAAACAACAGCTGCAGCCGTGTGCTGCTGCGACGACCATGCGCACGGAGTTTGGCTGGAATAGTCGCCCTATCCAAGGTACTTCATCAGGTATCGGTCATCATCCTGAAGTGGCGAGCAAAACTGGCATCCCTTTGGAATTCTGAGAAATATCTAGGGTGACCGCCAGACTGCGCCGCTGTCTTCAATTCGCTTGGGGACATTAGAATCAGGATCACGACATCGTGAATAGGAACAAAGCAAGTAGAGCCAGAGAGCGAGGGAGGGATGAACAACGCGGGTTGGCACAGATAACCATCGTCGCCCCAGAACCGGTTATGGCACCGCCGTTTGCTCTCACCCGTCGGACGAAGAGTCAGAATGTCTCGCGCTTGGGAAGTCGGCACATCGATCATTACGCGTGTTGCTTGCCCAACAGACCACACATCCGTACGGAGGCTCCCAGCTGGGGATATTTTGGGAATTTGAACGACTGGAAGCGAGATGGGTGAGAGATGCATATGCCAGAGCATGCAGGAAGTAGCACCGGCAGTGCTGCACTGGACAGGTACGAAATGATGCCACTAAGGAGAAGGGAGAAGCAAATCCCTCGCATGATGATGAAATTGAGACCATAAGTAAACCGCGAACATCATTTCCGCTCATCACCTACACAAACGGAGACAGAGGTCCTGGGATATGAGTGAGTAATTGCGAAAGTCCGCACCAATGGGCGGCGTCCATGGTGGTTCACTCACGCAAGCTGCCCTCTAGCGTGCAGTGTGGGAAGCCTTAAAGAAAGTTGGCTCCTCCAGGTTCCCTCGGATATGACATCCATCACTTTGCTGCGCGGAACGTAAGAGAGGAGATCAAAAGCAACCTTTTGTATGACGACTGGACAGAGCCTGGTCAATCAGTCCATAGGAGTCCTTGTCGGCGTTTTCCAGTCTTGACGAATATGACTTGGGACCTAAGAGCACTGACGTGATTCTGACCTCGATCACTGTCAGCTTAGGGAGAGACGTGCGAGACAAAACATTCGCTGCTCCTGGCAAGCCTGCGGGCGGAACAGTGAACGACAGGACACGCAGGTGAATAGCTGGGGTGAGATCAATTGTAAAGTCGGGGAAACGTACTGGATGACGTTAGCCGGCCTTGCGCTGCATCGACAAATAGCCTCGACGACTCACTTTTCCTGGAGATAAAACGTGGTAGCTCGAGGCATATGGACGAGAGCGATTCAGCGGTCACAGCGAGCAGCTCTGAGCACTTGTCCGAGCTCCGAGTACGCCAGACGAGGTGGCGTAGTTGTGCGCCGACCAAGACGAGGAAGTTAACAACGTCGTCGCTGTCCCGCACATCGGCGCCCTCGAGTCGGAGGGGGTGCAATTCCCATATTCGGCCCGCAACATCGCCACGCTTCCTGAAGGACACGCTCCAGCATGTGAGGGACGACAGGCGCGGAAGCGCACGCAGAAGCCGGCCAAAAACTGCCGCAGAAGGGAATCGCACCTCCATGAGCTTGAGCACGGCGACCGACTCGAATGCGAGAGTGATGTGGACGAAGACCTGCGCGTGTAGCTGTCCAAGCTCCCAATTGTACCTCCCGAGTATGAGGCGCTTGACTGGGGGTAGTCTCTGTGCCATGCACACAGCAAACGTCCCAAAGATGCTCATCAACGCCGAGTCCCACTGGAAATGGAATGAGACTGTCTTAATGGCATGGCAGCGCTCGGGGTTCTGCTTCAGTGCGTTGATCAGGCGATAGACCTCTGTCTTGTCCATGCGATCCACATCCAGCTTCTCCCAAGCACGAAAGCGGCATCGGGCATACCACTCCCGACACACTCTTCCCAGTACATGCAGCCTGGCTTCATATGTCACGTCACGCCACAACACGTCCACCCATTCGTTCGCCAGAACGTCAATCACCTTCTCCCATAGTTCAATTGGAAGCTGAATTGAATGCTCAAGGGGCATATCAGCACCCAGCAGAGCAGTGTTTGGTCTGGACCCTAAAGATTTAGCTCTGCCATCTACCCCTGCGATGTTCAACGATAACGCATATTGAAAGCGTCGCATGCACTCACTGCCTCCATCTTCACCGCACATCTCTCCTCCCTTGACTTCTGGCCCAAGCACTGGTTCGTCATACTGTGTGTCGAGTCGAAGAGGCAAGGTCGCAGGCGAAGACGACATCTGTAAATGGTGGGCTTCAGAGAGGTGCACCATGCCTCAGATGCCCACTCCTCGACCTATTAGTATAAGGTGTTCGCTGTCGTGTCATACAGCCTCGATGTCCGGAGAATGTCCGCTCAGCGGACCTTATCGTATTGAACTTAATATCACAGCCTGGCAGCACATACAAGTGCATGCACGGTAGAATGCTGAACCAGGGCTGACACAACCAAGAAATCGCCGTTTTCTTGCAACGAAAAGAGATCGGAAAAGTGACAGCTAAGTGACTGAGTACTAAACATCGAACGAGCCTCAGCCTGAGCGCAAGACGCGAGGCACGTGGGCCCGCTTATCTCCTTGGCTTAGCTATCGCTCGCCTTCCTCGCCCGAGCTCAAGTTCAAGTTTCTCCGCTCTCCGTCAGATCGTCCGACTTTCTATTGGCCATATACGTGCTTTGGCTCACCTAAACTCCAAAAATGCATCCAAGCGAAAATGATGGGCGATTATCAGACTGCACAAATAACCAGTTTTATCCAAGCTAAGCTCCCGCAGATGCATACTAGAACACGAGGAGCCGCTAGGAGTGAGAAAGCATGTCAGTCGATTTTGAATTAGTATATAAGCTGGTAAGCTGTCGTTCGCAGATGAGCGGCGTGAGGCGAGACGCTGATCCACGAGGCCGGCGCATAACTTTGTGGTGGTGAGTTGGACTTTGAACGAGAGCGCTCAGAGCGGTGAGTCTGCTTGCGATTGGTGCTGATTTCGTGGATGGGAAGGAGTCGTCCTCTAGAGAATACAACTCTTGCTGTCTAATGCCCAGTCGATGACCCGGTGCAGCAGCAGTGCCATCTGGGAATGTCGATGTCCTTGGGTCGCCTCAAGTTGCTGCGCGCCGTAGCGCACTACCCAAGTCAAAAATCCTAGTATGTCTCTGGGCAGCTACGTCCCCAGGTTGACCCGCGCCTCCGCCGCCGTCTCTGGGTGAGGCTCGTCTGCGACATCTCCCGCCTCCGTTCCGAAAAGCTCTTTAATGCCACAAGCACAAGCATGCGACTGCTCTGTACATTTGCTGGTGGCGATCGTGATGAGAAATTGAACCAGAACTCCTGTTTTATGCCTTAGGATATTGATAGTCACGCACAGGCACGCGCCAAGAAATGATTATAGTGTCGCATACACAAGACATGCAGCCTTGATTACGCGGCCACCTCGCATTCGAATGTTTAGTGTACTTTGCAGTGAATGGAGACACCCTAGGCGGCTCACAATGTGCAAATATTCAGAGTGTAGTACATAACCGGCACAACATTACGTGTGTTCCTCCATTCGAACAGACACATAGGGCCTAGGACACGAGTGAGCATTGTTAGAAGCACTGGAGACGATTCATGACATATGTAAATGTCTACTCACACGAGTCGTCCACTGGTGTGTAGAGCAGGGAGACGTGATGAGAGGTGACTCCCCCAGGACACCTCGGATATCGTCCCCATCAGTTCGCTGCGCCAAATCTCACAGCGCAGGTTGAAAGTGACCTTTTTCAAGGTGGGATACTGACGACTGGAGAAGGCCTGGTCAAGAAATGCATAGGAGTCTTTGTCAACTGCATCCAGCTTGTCCTGGATAATCGACAAGTGGAATGTCCCGGTATAATGGTGGATTGAAACGATGGTAAGCTCGGTCATTTTGGGAAGGAACGCGCGACACAGAATTCTTGCCACTCTGTCGAAGTCGTCGAGGTTGGAGACGATTGAAAGGACACGCAGGTTGACAGCTAGCGTAAGATCGATCACAAAGTTCGGGGGAAATCCTAGAAGACGTCAACCGGCGTCACACTGCATCGACAAATGGCTTCAACGACTCACGTTTCCTGGCGGTAAAATATGCTAGCTCAAGATGTATGGACGAGAGCGATTCTGCGGTCACAGCGAGCAGCTTCAAGCACATGTCTGAGCTTAGACTACGCCAGGAGAGGTGGCGTAGTTGTGCACCGATCAACACGAGGAAGTTCGCGACGTCATCGCTATCCCACAATTCGGCATCGTCGAGTCGGAGAGGGTGCAATTCCCAGATTCGGCCCGCAGCATCGCTATGCTTGTCAAAGGACACATCCCAGCATTTGAGGGACGACAGGCGCGGAAGCGCACGCATGAGCCGCCCAAATACCACCGCGGAAGGGAATCGCACATACTTGAGCTCGAGCACAGTGACCGATTCGAATGCGAGAGTGATGTGGATGAAGACCTGCGCGTGCAGTTGTCCAGTGTCCCAATCACAGCGCCAGAATGCGAGACGCTCGGTCCTAGGTAGTTTCCGCGCCATGCAAATAGCAAACATCCCAAAGATGCTCATTGACTTCTTCTGAAATTTGAATGAGACCGTCTTGATGGTATAGCAGCGCTCGGGGTTCTGGTTCAGTGTGTTGATCAGACGATAGGCCTCCTCCTTTTCTATGGGCTTCTCCACAACAAGCCTCTCCCAGGTACGAAAGAGGCATCGGGCATGCCACCCCCGACACACCTTTCCTAGTTCTCGTAGTCTGGATTCATATGTCTGATCAAACAAAAAGACATCCACCCATTCATCCGCCAGATAGTCAATCACTGTCACCCATAATTCAACTGGAAGTTGGATTGAATGCCCAAGGCACACATCAGCTTTCAGTGGAGAAGTGCTTGACATAGACTCCAAAGATTCAGCTCTGTCGTCTACCCCTACAATGTTGGACGATAACGCACATTGTAAATGTCGCATACACTCACCGTCTCTATTTCCGCAGCACATCTCCCCTTCCTCGACTTGTGGCCCAGGCATCATTTCGTCATATTGTGCATCGAGTTGAAGAGGTATGGTCGTAGGCGGAGACGACATCTGCAGATGGTGGGCGCAAGAGAGGTACACTATGCTTCAGATGCCCATTCCTCGGCCTATAAGATGTTCGCTGTCAAGGTATACAACCCCAATACCTGGATAATGCCCGCTTATCGAACCTTATCAAATTGAATTTCATATGACAGCCTAGAAGCACATGCGAACGCGCGCACGACAGGATGCTATACCAGGACTGGCACAACAAGAAAATTACGATTTTCTTGCTATGGAAATGGATGGGAGAGGCAACGGCTGAATTGAGTAAGCTTTTTTCCCCGCGCACAATAGGTCTTTCCTTACTAGGGAAATGGACATTGCCTTGCTGCGTACTGTCACAACACGTGCGCAGAGCAGCATCTGAAGAGTAGACGTGCGTCCCGCACTCTACTGCGCCGCAAAGCAGAATAGAGAGCACAATATACACCGCACGCACACCGATCAGCACGTGGCCGATAGTGCTTGTTGTCTGATACGCGCCAAGTACCAACACGCAGGATTCTACAGCGCCTTGCAGATCGCTATGTCGTCCGGAGCAGCATACGCTGGTACCTGTTAGTGTCTTTTCACAGGAAGGAAAGGATACTCCACCAAGTCCGGAAGAGCCAATGAAATGGGATCAAGAGGGCGCGCTCGCGGGACAAGTGCCTACACCACCCACTGAGCGCGATGATCTGAGTCATTTGAAGTGTGTACAGGCAAAAAGAATCAGATTTACGGGGACGAAAAGATGAAATAAACTATACTCCCCGTCTTGGAAATGGCCTCTACGTAAATGTCCGGGGGGCTGTGCTTTCTATCGAATCGGCTCGGAAGGCATAGACAGCACCCTTATCTCCTGATTGATGACCAGCTCAAGCGTGAACTGCGTCGTGAACTCAGCGCATCGACGAGGTACCATTGTCAGTACGGCTACAGGGTGCAGTTGGAGCTGCCTATTCGCGCTGGAATCTTTCCCGATTGTGCGCATCGCATCGGACGCCCACGCGCCCAGCGGGCAGAGTGCGTGGCGTAGCTGTGCATTCATTGCAAGTCGGAGGCTGGAAATTGGGGAAATTCAGATAGCGATGCGGTTAGCAGGCGAGGGTACCGACACAGTGTGGGACGAGGAATTTGGCGACGGTGATAGAAGACTTTGCGCTGGAAGAGCCTGAAAATTCATGTAGACGGTGGAGTGTATGCGACATGTTCTTCTGCGCGTATCTCCATGCATGCACACATTCCTGCCAAGTATTAGCGCAGATACTGCTTTCACAGTGTTATGTAGAATTACATATCATTATCTCGCACAGTTCGAAGAGGGCACGGTGAGATAGTGTCTGAGATAGGTATAAGGCGTGAGGCTGGTGAGCATTGAGTTCGTTCTGTATCGTTGTGCTGCGCTGAAGATGACCTGCCTCGAGCGTTTCATGTTCAACACCTGAGATCATTGATCAGTATTCGAACGAGAGACTACACACCAGGATTTCAGATTTCAATGGTTTTCCCCTACTTATCGTCTACATGAGGGCCCCGCGCCATTTCTGAAAATCTCGGTCGCCCACCTTAATGCACCCAGTTTTCCTTGCATATTTTTACTGTTCTATTCAACAAGTGGGGCACGAAACCGTCAGAGCTTGGGCTGTCTGTTGAGAAATGTGGATTGATCCAAGGTGCATGCACCAGTCCCTGTTGAACAGAGCCAAGAACATAATACTAAAAGAAGCAAGCAAAAGCTTCACACGTAGAGGATGAAGGCAGGCGTGGGATTGCAAGGTTATTTCGTGCGAAGAAAGGGGATGGCGACGGCGACGACTCGGAGGCGGAGCAAGGCTCAAAGCACATTGAGCCCGCCCATTTCCTTTCTTGGTCATTGCAGCGGCCGCCTTCCTCAGGCTCAAGTTCAAGTTTCTCCACTCTTCGTCCTACTTTCCATTGACCCTCATGCGTGCACGGGGAGGAGTCGTCCTCTCGGGAATACACAAGCTTGCTGTCTATCGCCAACCGGTAACACAGTGCTGCGGCAGTGCCACAAGCATATGACTGTCTTATAGATTTTCTGCCATTGGTGACCATGACGATCAATTAACCAGAACTACCCTTATGCATCAGAAGATATCGAAAATCATGCGCAGGCCCGCGCTGATGGAGGATTCTAGGGCGAAAAATACACAGGACTTGTAGCCTTGGTCATGCAGTCTCCACGCATTTGAATGTTTAGTGTACTCTACGGCGAATGGAGACACTCGTCTCAAAGTGGCGCACTAAACAGGTACAGGTAACAGGAAAAATACAGGCGGCGCACTATGTGCAAATCTTCAGAGTGAAGTACATAGTCAGCGCAACATTATGTGTGCTCCTTCACTCCAACAGACACAAAGGACCTAGGATATGAGTGAGTATTGCTAGAAACAATGTGGAATTTGGAGACAGTCCATAACATATGCAGATGTTTACTCACGCAAGTCGTCCACTGATGTGTAGAGCAGGAAGATTTGGTGCAAAGTGACTCCCCCAGGACACCTCGGATATCACCTCCATCACTTCGCTGCGCTGCGTCTGACAGTGAAGCTTGAAGGTGACCTTTTTCAAAGCGGGATACTGACGACTAGAGAAAGCCTGGTCAAGAAGTGCATAGGAGCCCTTGTCGACTTCATCCAGCTTGTTCTGGATCATCGACGAAGAGAATGTCCCGGTCTGATGGAGCGTTGAGATAATCGTAATCTCTGCCAGTTTAGGAAGGAACGCGCGGGACAATATCATTGCCACTCTGTTCAAGTCTCCGAGGTCGGAGGCGATTGAAAGGGAATGCAGGTTGACAGCTGGCGTAAGATCAATTGGAAAGTCTGGGGGAAATCCTAGAAGACGTCAACGACCTCGCACTGTGTTGTCGATACAACAACCTTGGCGACGAACCTCCGGTGGGGAAAAAACGCACTAAGTCGACGCGCATGGACGAGAGCGATTCGGCGGTCACAGGGAGCAGCTCCTGGCACTTGTCCAAGCTCCTAGTACACCAGAACAGGTGGCGGAGGCGTGCGCCGATCAAGACGAGAAAGTCAACGATATCATCGCTGTCCACCATTTCGGCGTCGTCGAGTCGGAGGGGATGCAATTCCCATATTCGACTCGCAACATCGCCATGCCTCTCGAAGAACACGTTCCAGCATTTGAGAGACGACAATCGCGGGAGCGCGCGCACAAGCCGCCCGAACACCACCGCAGAAGGGAATCGCACTGCGTCGAGCACGAGCGTCCTGACCGACTCAAATGCGAGAGTAATGTGGACGAAGACTTGCGCGTGCAGCTGTCCAGTGTCCCACTCACAGTGCCAGAATGTGAGACGCTCGACTCGGGGCAGTTTCTGTGCCATGCACACAGCAAATGACCCAAACATATCGACCGACGTCCTCCCAAAATGGAATGAGATTGCCTCGATGGCACGGCATCGCTGGGAGTCCTGGTTCAGTGTGTTAATCAGTTGATACACCTCTTTTTTCTTCCTTGTCACATCCAGCCTCGCTAGGATACGACGACGGCATCGGGCATACCACACCCGACACACGCGCCCCAGCTCGAGCAGCAAGCGATTGCGCATCTCCGGGTTCCAATACTCGACCTCCCAGCAGTCCGCCAAATAGTCGATCACATTCTCCCATAATTCAACTGGAAGCTGGATCGAATGCTCATGAGGGTGCACATTAGCCTTAGAGGCCAGTGCATCCATCTCGCTGTCCGCCCCTACGATGCTCAACGATAACGCACATTGTAAGTGTAGTATGCACTCACTGTTACGCATCTCGATGTCAAATCCGGATACCGAATCATCACGCTGCATACCAGTGAGAGGCCGAGTCGCAAACGATGGGCGAAGGGAGCGGTGCACCATGCCTCAGACGTCTACCTTGGCCTATAAGGTATCTTCTGTCGGATCATCACGATCATATCCCCGATAGCTGGGCTGCGCATCGAACTTTATCGCGTTGAATCTAATTTCACAGCCCGAATGCATATACTTCCAAGAGCGCGTGGCGGGATATTGGACTACCAGGGCCACACTCACAACACCTGCACAGGACAGTGCTCGCGCAGCAGATACGTCCCAAGACATCCATATTCAACTCTCTGTCCCACACCCAACTAGAAGAGAAAACGCAGTGTGTGTAGCACGCCCATGACAGTTGAATTAGCAGGGCGCGCTCGCAGCACAAGTGCCCATGCCATGCACCTTTGAACGCGGTGACGACGTCAACCATACTGCGCATAACAACCAAATTTGAGTGCCACAAGGACAAAGAAAGCGAATCTTCCGTCTTGAAAAGCAGGGCCTCTATAGAAGTACGTTGTGCTCGTCATGGAACCGGTTCAAGAGGCGGAGTTGGTAACATGCTCTCCTCTCGATCGATAACCAGCCCGAGTAATACGGATGGACGCACGCCAGTGCCAGTGAAACATAATCAAGGAAAGAGTGTTGAGGGCAGAGACCAAGTATGCAAAGGCGAGGAGACTGCGCAGACTTGGCGTAGATGTCAGAGAACTCATGTAAGAAACGCCTGAAAGGAAACCAACGAATTGGGTGACGCGCACGGGCTGGCCCTGCAGCGCTGTATGTATGAACACGGTGTGGGTTGCGAAGTCAAAGCCCGACGTCAATTGTGAGCTCATCTCCACTCATCATACACCCGAGCAGACACAGATGCCCTAGAATATGAGCGAGTATAAGTAAGAGCAAGGCGAGAACTAGAATTTATCTACAGCGTATGCAAGGTTTTACTCACACAAGCCGCCCACTGGCATGCAGTGCAGGAAATTTCGACGAAGTTCGACTTCTCCAGGAGTCCTCAGATATCACCTTCATCACTTTGCTGCGCCAAATTGCACACTGGAGCCGAAAAGTAAACTTTTTCAGGGCAAGATATTGGTGACCGGAGAGTGTCTGGTCGATCTGTGCATAGCAGTCCTTGTCGACGCGATCAAGCTCGTCCTGGATGAATGACGACGAAGTGGCTGCGCCAGACGTCGATGTGAGTCTAGCCTCGATCTCGATCAGGTTGGGAAGAGACGCGTGAGATAAAATCCGTGCTGCTCTGGCCAAATCCTCGAGCTCGACAGTGAATGACAAGATACGTAGGCTGACCGCTGGGGTAAGGTCAATCATGGAGGCTGGAGACCGCATTCAGACGGCGTCAACCGACATTACTCGGCGTCATGAACAAACGGCCTTGGCGACGCACCTTCGTTGGAGGCATAATACGGTAGTTCAATGTACATGGACGAGAGCAACTCGGCAGTCGCAAGGAGCAGCTTTGAACACTTTGCCAGGTTGTGGTCATGCCAGGTGAGATGGCAGAGACGAGCGCCGATCAACGCGAGAAAGTCGACGACGTCATCGCTGACTTTGAGATTGGCGGCGTCGAGTCGGAGAGGAAGCCGCTTCCAGATTTGGCCCACACCATCGCAAGGCTTCTCGAAGCCCACACTCCAACATGTGAGAGAGGAGAGAAGTGGGAGCGCACGCACAAGCTGCCTAAACACAACGGCAGAAGGGAATGTCACCTCGAAGAGTTCGAGCATAGTGACCGACCCAAATGCCAGAATCACATGGACGAAGACCTGCGCGTGCAGCTGTCCAGCGGCCCACTCACATTCCCGGAGGGCGAGGCGTTCAACCTGGGGTAGCTTTTGCGCCATACATGCAGCAAACGTCCCAAAGGCATCGACCCTCCTGTTCCAGAATCTGATTGAAACCATCTTGATGATACGGCGTCGCTCTAGGTCTTCATCCAGTCTATCAATGAGGCGATATATCCGCTTCTTGTCCATCCTTTTTGCTTCAATCCTCTCCTGGGCACGAAAGAGGCATCGGGCATGCCACCTCCGACACACCCTCCCCAGCTCTCGCATCCAAGCTTCGTACATGACCTCATCCTTCCAGTCGTCTGCCAGATAGTCAATCGTCTTCTCCCATAACTCAATTGGAAGTTGGATCGAATGCTCAAGATCAGCTTTCGGTCGAGCATTCTTCAGGATCGACACGAGGGATTGCGCTATGCGAGAGAAGTTCAACGATGATTCATAGTGTAAATCCGGCACGCACTCACTGTCTGTATTTCCACCACACATCCCCCGTCTTCTGACTTCCGGTCTAGGGACCAATCCTTCGTGGAGCATACCGGGGAGAGGAGAGTCGCAGGTGGATATAGCATCCAGAGACGGTGTGCGAGGGGGAGGCGCACGATGCCTCGGGTTCCCACTCCCAAATATATAAGGCGTCCTTTCGGGTCCCATGGCCCCGACAGCTATATGGCCCAAGCGCTACAATATCAGACTTTACCGCGCTGAACATGCTCCAACCGCATACAAGCGCATACATTGCTGGAATGCGACTAGCTATGCATTACAACACCGTCATCGCAAACGCAGCGCAGCACATGGTCCGAATAGCAGACCCATCTTCGGCTTTGAGCCGACAGAGACGGCAGGGCACAACACGCCCGTGAGCGCGTATCCGATTGCCCGTGTCTTCCGATACACATCCAATGCCGAGTACACATGATCCAGCTTCTATGGCGCCTCGAAAGGCAACATGAGTCGCCTCAGACACTGCATGTTAGCGCTGATTCCCCTGAGGTATGGCCTCGGAAGGTGCATCAATTGCATTTGCGCCGGCATCCTGATACAGACACAGTGAATACCTTACTGCATGACTGCTTCATGCGCGATCATGGAAAGACGGGACGTACGTAGAAAGTGAACGCCCTCGCGCATGAACCATGGAATATCGATCTCACTTCCATTTTCGTCGGGGTCTCTTGTCGCCTGTCTCGCTGCGTTGGCCATCCACGTCGAGTCAAATAACTTAGCGGTACAGATAAACTGTCGATCGCATGGCGCTCCTCTCAAGGCAGGTCTGCTGCGCTGTCATCCAGCTGATCTGCTGCGCTAGAAACGACCTGTGTGCACCCCTTCCGATGATATGTGTATGAATTCGCAGATGTTAGCGATAGGAAAATAACTCACCAAGACGTTTTGGTCATCCCAGTGCGAGGTCTCCGCCGATTTGGGTTTAACTACATTTCACAGATGATGGGCGTCCAAGGCCAGCGGAATGGAGGCTCCAGACACTGTAACGGTCCCGTCAATCACCATCTGCTAGGCTAATCTTGGCCCATGCTCATATGAGCGTCGGCTGCATCCACTTCGGCGTGCTAGTCTGTACGACGCTGAGAGTGCTGTGTTAGCGGAAGAGCAAGAAAATGGCAGATATGATTCTGAGACGGCTATCATGACGGGCCCGTCGTTTCCTTTCTTAGCTGTCGCGCGCCCAGCCGCCCGATACGCTGCCACCACGGGCCATAGCATGGCTCAACTATTCTTCCACTGTATGGCTCCCATATCGCCCCCACAGTACTATCATTGCACCAGTAATGCAACTTTTTCAGTATCTGGGCTCCCTATAGCGCAAATTTGACCGGAACTCTCGGAGTTTTCGCCAATCGATGCAGAATGTTTGAAAGTACATACCTCAATTTCGTAGGCTCAGTATGTCAAGAATTGAGCAATACCGAGAGCAAAACAAAATTGCAACAGTAGTGCAACTTTTCTCCGAGGCATGTCACGTCGGCCGTCACAATGCCGCACATGCCGTTTTCTTTGTCCGCCCAGCGTTCAGTGGCTGGACTGCGAAGTTATGCGAAGTACGCCACCACTACCATCAGCTGAGTCAAGATTCACGACGCCGATTGTGGCTAAATGTCACAGAATTGAGTCGTTACCGTTCGACACAGGATTCAGGAGGGGTTCGCTATGCAGATTATTCCGGAGAAATTAGAATAGAGGTGTGTATGTCCTTTAGATAGTCATGGTGAGTTATTATGTCAATCGGACATGGCGATCACCCACCCGAGGCCACTCTTGGTCGAGATGTAGTCCTCAAAACACACTCGCGACGCATTCGAGTCGCTCTCGTATTTTTCATTCATACGATAATCAAACAATAGTGATAATAATTGTATTTTGTATCATACATGATTTATTCGGATTTTTAGAGGGGGAGGAGCAGCTGTAAGTTCAGTAATTGCACTACTGTTGCGATTGCATTACTGGTGCAATGATAGTATTTGCAAACGTGATTTTCTACATCTCGACCGCATGTGTTCTCAATCAGCGGCTCTGCAAGGTGCTGCGGTTGTGTGCTGTATCAGTGCACCCGAGGATGAGGTGTAATAATGTCCCGGCAGAGGACGCGCAAAGACACCATCAGTCAAGCCGAGGACAAGTATCGAATCCCTTCAGGAGCATTGCGGCAGACTCTCGATACCTCCCTCCCGCGGCCTTTGTCCAGTCACTGGGATACACGTTCTTCCAGAAACCAGTACGTTGCATGTAGAGAGAACAGTACAATGATGATCACAGGTATGGGGTCTCAAGTGTAATTGTCGGAGCCTCCTCCTCAAGTTCTCTTCCCCAAATCTCACGAGCTATCTCCACTCCCTTCAAAGCATGAACGTCCATCTCTCGAAATCTTTCCATACATTCAAACAAGAGGATGTCCTTCGTCATTATCTTCTCCCAGATCGGATTGCTCTCCCAAGCGGGCTTGAACAACAGCAGTGCCCATGGCTCCTTCGACAGCGGATGTATGCTATGGTTGTCAAACGGGATTCCGAACGCGAACCGGCCTCCGGAAGGCGGCAACCCGAAGCTGTTGTTGAAAACAAAGTTGGTGCGGATAATCGACGCTCTGATAGGTGCTTCCGATAGACAGCAGTCGAATTGGTGCGTCCATTGCTGGTCTGGATCCTCGCAGAGCCGAGTTTTAACGGGGACGATCAGCAGCTCTATGCGCATCCCTGCGCTCGTGAGCGTGACAGGTTCCCCCTCAAAGGGCGATATCAAATCGTTTGTCGGAACGAATGGTGGATAACACTCTGCAGATGAAGGAATCAGACGTGAGGGATGAGCGTTCGTGGCCAGGCCTATCCACCTGAACAGCAGGGGGTTGTTGGTCACATCCAAAATAGCCTTGAAGAGCCTGAAGAACGCGCTCTGCGACCCCTCTCCATACGCAATATATATGCTAACCCCGAATATACCCATCATACAATACGACTTGTCCTCCCCTCTGGTCGTCTTTCGTTTAGCGATCCATGTCATACGCTCCGCGACGTAATTTCCAAATGCTCCAGGTAGAAAGTCGGTGAATTCGTGATAAGCCATGCCGGTCACACGGGCGACAGTATCTCGGAGCTGCTGGCGCTGCTGCACCAAGTGGGAAGGTAAAAATCCAATTTCCCTTCCCTTATCGTCCGGAAGATCAGTGAGTGGCTCCCAGTCCTTTCTGTAGAACTTGAACTGCTGCGGTGCGAGGAGCTCCTGAAGTGTCCACCCCCTAGTGAACCATCTGTCATGTTCCATATCTCCAATCGTCATGCTTTCGGCCAGATAAGCGATACAAACTGCCGAGTTGCGATACCACGCAAACATCGAACGAATCGATTCGTCTAGTTCTGCGCTACTGGACTTGTCGATGCAGACTGTATCCGCCCATGCGAACTCGATGCCATATTTCTGGTACGCCACTCGACAGAATTGTTTGAGCTTTGTGTTCCCCGCTTTGTTGAAGTGGCGATTTTCTGTGAAATCGTTGTAGGTGACTTCTTCCTTTTCCCATGTATGAGAGAGGATGGCAAATCGTGTCGCTTTCTTGATCCACTCGTTAAGAGCTAACTGTAATGTCTTCTCGCGAGAATTCTCGGAGACTTCAAGCCACGGCTCGTTCCATTTAAGACACCCAAAGATCTCTGCAGGTTTTTGCCTCGCTTTTTCGAGTTTCTCGGAGAGATAGTCTACTATCGCCCCCCTCTCCACCAGCTTCATTTCCGGAAGCTTCATGAGACGAATGGGCATTTTGTCGAAGACATGAGATCGAGCACTCTCGGGAAGAGAGATATTTGCGCTGGAAAACACTCCGTCACATTCAACTGATGAACCTTACCAGTCTCTGAGACACGTACAGCATAGGATTATTGGTGAAACAGCCAAGTAATCCAAGGTATGCCATTTTGCATGCGCCTTTAATCCTTTCTGGGATAGCTGTTTGAGAATTCTCGCTGCAGTGAACGTCCATGTCTCTTGCAGTATTTTTCGACATCCTGCATCAAACGATCCACTCGGTATGCGCATCAACAATGAAACTGGGTCTACTCACAGGGCCCACAACCCTGGAGATTCTGGACGAAGGGTTGTCACGACAGTCGCAATGCTTCCTCGTTCTTGGACCAACACAGACGAGGGGTTTCTTCTGCATCAATTTCTTGCTTTACAACGCCGCTCACAGCAGGATAAACCACGAAAAACTCTGACGTACGCATAATATGTCTCTTCGTCCTGAGCTACACTGCCTGAACATTAGTCAACCGAGTCAGCATAACGTTCAAGTTCGAGACGTAGCCCCAAACTCACGAGGCATTTGAGCCTGAGTCACTAAGATGATTGAGATGTACACATAAGTGCCTGAGGAGGAGGGGATCCGACGCTTGCCTATACCCTTGAAACGCAGTCCAACACGTGCTAAAGCTTCCCAGCAAAGTCTGCAGCCTTGCAGACTACTGTCAAGAATGACATTAACAACGCGTGGGATATATGAGCCACGAGCCTGTCTGAAACTGTCCGCACACTGCATCATCATTTTGAATCAATGTCCAGGCATTCATCTAGCCTAGGGGAGTGATTAATTGCCCAATTCGAAGGGGCTTGCCGGAGCAATGAGCGAGCTTACCGCTCAAGGTCTCTGAGGCTCGCCACTTCTGCAACGCCTCGAGAGGCCAGATCTTCTCGGGTGGCACTACATGTTGACGCTTGATTCCCCTAATAAATCGTTACAGTTGAGACCTTTGCCAATATATCCTCCTCCTGTTCCTCCTATGAGCGTCCAAGAAGCCGTGCTTTCCTTATCGCGGTCTATGAATGGATTTCCGAGACACTGAACCCGACTTTTGTGGTGAATTATAAAATACTGCGCTGACTTTGGCCCACATCCATAAGTGCATCTGCTCTTTGGTTGCTCTTGCATTCTGAGATGAAAAGACGGCAAACAAGATAGAGCGAAACGAAGAGCCGCGCGCCGTTTCCTTTTTCGGCTATCGGCCTATGTCGCGACTGGCGAGCCTGGCTTGTCCCATTACGTCTGCCATATGGCACCCATGCCGTCCCTACAGCATTTGCATTTGAATCTCTGTATCCTGACCTCCTCATGTGTTCTCAACCAGCGACTTTCTCTCTGCACCCGAAGTCTGGCGATAGCCTTTTCGCAATGTGTGGCTATGACTGCGATGCTGTACCGGTCGGATACCCTACCGGTTAACGTTGATATGGTGAGGTGCTATCCCAACATTCCACGACGGAGTACGATCAAGGACATCGTCGCTCAAAGCAGAAACAACAGCTGAATGCCTTCCAGACTAGCACCCAAGTGCAACATATGCCGCAGGCCAACTTCGACGGGATGCAGATGGTGTCTGCTGCTTACAGTTATAGTCTGCAACATCTGTTTTCCCATGAAGTACTACTTTCCTCGAATTGAAGCTCAAATTCAATTGTGTAATGCAAAAGTTGAAGTTGAATGAGAAGGAAGTGGTGGTGGTGGTGGAGGTGAAGGCGGAGGTGGAGGAATTGAGACTGAATGTCGCTCTACTCTTGCAGAAGCGATGGCTGGGATGTATTTCCCTATGCGCTTCCTCAGGTCGGATCACCCACCTCTTTTGCAACATCTCCACCAATGATCTTAGACATTTCCCAAGTCTCTCTAAAGCGGGAATCTTTCGAATCTATCTGCAAGCTTGGTGGACTCAGAGCGGTGTTACGCACCGCGCGTGTCCCATATGTTGCCGCTGCATATGCGGACGTACCGTGTCTTGACGTCAGATCCAACAGTACAGTCTTTTATAGCTCGCTCATTGCAACCCATCCATTTGTTCCTGCCCGTACCTGGTTTATCCTCGATAAAGTTCGTCTGTGAACCCTATCCTCTCACTTATTTTACTCTTTCGATATTCGCCGGCCGCAGTATCATCTCGTCAATCAATCATAGAACACGGTCAGACGCATTCGGTGACCGTTTCCCACAATGTTATCGTCCTCTTCACGTGAGCCCCAAGCATCCTTTCTCGCTAACGTTCCAGCTCTGCCACCAGGATTCGGACTCGGGCGTTGCTCTCCACGAAGTCAGCTAGTCTATCATCTCGACACTGCGTGTCCACCACGAGCTTGGTATGTTTGCGGCGACACTTTGATATCGGATGTCATGCTTATCTATCGCCCATTCCTGTGAACAGAGCCTTCGCAGCATGGCTACCATGAAAGCCTTAGTGTATCACGGCAATGAACGATTCGGCGTCGTCGAGCGCCCCAAGCCGACAGTATCCGCACCGACCGATGCCATTGTCAAACTTTCCAAAACCACCATTTGCGGTAAACATAAACCAACTTGGATCCGCTATCTTTCACTGACCTGTTATTTTAGGGACGGATCTACATATCCTCAAGGGCGATGTACCCAGTGTGCAGCAGGGCCGTATTCTTGGACACGAAGGTCTCGGAACTGTCGAGTCCGTTGGCGCAGGCGTGACCGGGTTCAAGCCCGGCGATCGCGTCGTTATCGCGTGCGTCACCTCGTGCGCGACATGCAACATGTGCCGCCGCGGGCTGTCCTCGCACTGCATGTCTGGCGGATGGGTGCTTGGCAACACGATCGACGGCACGCAGGCCGAGTACGTGCGAATTCCGCACGCCGACGGTTCGCTGCACCGTGTGCCTACGGGCGTGGACGAGGACGCGCTCGTGATGGTGAGCGACATCCTGCCAACGGCGCTTGAGTGCGGCGCGATGAACGGGGGAGTGAGACCCGGCGGGAGCGTCGCCATCGTTGGTGCTGGCCCTGTGGGACTCTCGACGCTTATGACAGCGCAGCTATACTCGCCGACGACTACCATTGTGATCGACATCGACTTGGCGCGGCTCGAGGCCGCAAAGAAGCTCGGCGCGACACACGTCGTGCAGTCTGGTCCGGATACGGTGCGGCAGGTGATGGAAATTACAGGAGGAGATGGCGTGGATACTGCAATCGAAGCTGTTGGAATCCCTTCGACGTTCGAGTTGTGCCAAGAGCTGATCGGTGTCGGTGGAACAATCGCAAATGTAGGCGTCCACGGGAGCAAGGGAGAAATCTATTTGGATAAGCTGTGGAATCGTAACATCGGTGTGTGCTTCACAATGGTGAATGTGCGAAAACGTAATGTGGCTGAAGAAATTTGCTAGCGATCACGACACGACAGGTAGACAATATAACCTCACCGATGCTCATGAAACTCCTGGAAGCTGGGAAAATCAATGCAAAGGCGTTGGCGACACACTCGTTTAACTTCAGCGACATCGACTCTGCTTACGTATCGTATCAAGCAGCCGCAGAGACGAAGGCATTGAAGGTGATAATCAACTTTGAGTGAGTACATTGTACGCGAGGACATCTCTATTCCTACATGAACTAGTCGATTCGATTGTTATATGTTACTTACTGCATGCCTACCTTTTATCCTCTCCCCTATGTACTGTCATCAATGACCGATTTGTAGCTCATGTTCTGGATGAACCATTGAGGAAATGTAAACTTAGGTAATTTGAGGCTGAATCAGAGAGGCTCCTGAGGGGCGGAATTATGATGGTAAATATTTCGTAATCGTCATGTTATGGCTACTCGAAGTTATGTCGTTGTATCTTGAAGCGGAAGTATATAATGACCAAACTTGTTTACCATTTGTGAAGCAGTTGCGATCTGCTAAACATTCCAACTTCGGTTTTTGACGTCCATGCAGCATCTAGCCAAGATTCCTATGTCGCTTTTCCGACAATCTACCCAGAGCTCCCTATGCGCAATACCTATAAGCTTTATTAATTTACAATTGGAAATCCTATAACGCCCATATAACCCTGAACTCATCGTGGTCGTCTAGATCTCTTCATTCAACAAGCGATTAAACCTAGAATCGCAGACCCGATCATTATGACTCTGAGGCGAGATTGGAGCCGCGATTATTCGAAATTGATGATGACCTTCAATGCTTTGTTCTCAGCCGCTGCCTGGAACGACACATATGCCGACTCCATCTGTCCAAAGCTGAAGGTATGAGTAGCCAACGGCTTTGAGTCCAGCTTCCCCGATTCTAAGAGCCTGATGATCATCGGTGAAGTAACTGTATCCACCAGACGTGTCGTGATAGCTAAAATTACAACTGTACTTAGTGTCACACACGTGTCCAAAATTTCGCATACGCACCAATGTTCCGATCCCAGAGCTTCTCCAGGTGCAAATCAACCTTGGACCCGTGGACACCCAGGTTCGCAATGGTCCCACCGACGGCAATCAGCTCTTGGCACAATTCGAACGTCTCAGGTACGCCCGCCGCCTCAATCGCCGTGTCCACACCCTTTCCCCCAGTGATTTCCATCACTTGTCGTACGGCATTCGGCCCAGCCTGTACGATGTGCGTCGCTCCGAGCTTCATCGCCATTGCCAACTTGTACGGGTTGCGGCTAATCATAATAATCATCGACGGCGAGTACAACTGTGCCGTCATAATCACCCCGAGGCCTATCGGGCCTGCTCCGACGATCGCGACAGTTGAACCGGGGCAGACCTTCCCGACTACGGTCCCGCACTCGAGTGCCGTAGGAAGGACGTCACTCACCATTACGAGCGCATCCTGATTCACACCAGCCGGCACATGGTGTAGCGACGAATCCGCGTGAGGGATGCGCACGTACTCGGCCTGCGTGCCATCAATCCTGTGCCCAAGCATCCATCCGCCTGTTGTGCAATGCGATAACATGCCTTTGCGGCACATGTCGCACGACCCGCACGCGGTGATACAGGAGATGATGACGCGATCCCCGGGTTTGAATGTGGTCACGTTCGTTCCGACAGACTCTACGATGCCAAGGCCCTCGTGCCCAAGGATGCGACCCTGCGGGACGGTAGGTACGTCGCCCTTGAGGATGTGCAAGTCTGTCCCTAGAACAAGAGCTAGGTAAAGGAGATCCGTCCCTCTTCGAAACAGTGGGGCTCACCGCAGATGGTAGTCTTGACGAGTTTGACGACAGCATCGGTCGATACGATCACCGTCGGCTTCGGTCGCTCGACAAGGCTGAAGTTATCTTTGCTGTGGTAGACAAGTGCTTTCATAGTTGCCATGCTGAAAAAAGTCTGGGGGAATACTGTACACTCTCGTCAAATTGCCGAGCTATATGCGGATCATATCCGACAGCGGACAGCAAAATGGAAGGGATTATAGCATGCCAACAACCCCCGTGGCGCTAAGATCAATATCCGGGGGGAGCACGGACATTGATATGATCCATTCACACTGTAAGGAGAACCGATGTGGCCTTGAGGGTGGAACTAGCATGGGCCAACTTGCCAGGCAGATCATATGTGCACTCGAAACAATGGAAGCGAACGTATACCGGCATGCGTGATGTGCATCTGTCGCAACCATGTAATAGTATGCAAGCCCGAGGCCTGAGGTCAGAGGGCCCAACGTATTTTCCATCGTTGATATCTGGTCCTCTCCTCACCCAATCGGATACCGAGGTTGATCAGATCACTAAACGTACTAAAACATACGAGAACGTGCCTATACTTATTCCCTTACTATCTCTAGTGGCTTTGAGTGTAACAGCGTCCCTTCATGCGACTCTATTGCTCTGATCATCCGGGAAGGCAAGAACATATTCGACGCCCTGTATATGTCTGTTATCCTTTTGGCTATGTTAAGTAGCCAAAAGAGTCATCTGCATTTCGGAAATCCCAATGGTAAAAGAACAGCGGACATGGCCTCTAGCTTCATTCGATACGCGCAGTAATGTTCTGTTGCAAATAAATGAGTCAGTGCATATGCAATCACAAGTAGCCAGATTCAAAGGTATCTCACTATTCCTGAGTGTGCACACACAACTCTGACTTCAGCCACTCGGGGGTCTGAGACACCAAGTCAAAACTGTATACACGGACTATCATAACGACAGCTCCATATTACTTAGCGCCAGCTTCTCCACGGATGTGCGGAATGACTTGGACTTGGACTCTGTCTCGTCACACGTTAGGACGAGCATCAGAGCTATTCTTTCTCGTTAAGCGGACTTCACTGTGGTTCATGCCGTATTCAGCGACAAATTCCCGCACTCACATGAGAAATGAGTCTCTTATTGTGTCATTCGGCCGCTCAACTTCCGCGACCCTTATCTTTTACTATAAAATCAAGCTCCGCCATGACATTGACTTGAAGCCCGGAAGTGCTGGCGCAAACAATTGTGATGTATAAGCACGCGAATTTGGTATCGCACTATCTGAGAATCAACACTCACACTTCAGCGCTTTCCACTTCAGCGCCCCATATCCGCACATTCTGGCGAGAACGAACGGATTGCGCGTCGTCCATTCGCCTGTGATGCATCGCCTTTACTCACGAAATCAGCCAATCTGGTCAACAAAAACATAGAAGATCTCCATTGCGTCTGGTACGAGAAAAGTAGCGACGCTTGACATCCAGTAACACAGTCCTAGGAGTCATACAATGGATTCGCGCCCTTGTATCGGATGTCTGTTGCCATAACATTTCAAAGTTGCAGATGTTCTGTACACACTTGAAAATAAGAGAAGGAGCGACATCGACTCAATGGGAAGTCCAAATACCTGTTCAAAGAATTCGCCATGCGCTCCCACAAGTCTGCGGTAGGACTCAACGGTCAATGATTAGACAGTTGCCCGATGCAGTCCTTCCACTTGTTGACTTGATGGTGATTATCTTGCTTACAGCATAAAATTAAGTCAGATTATAATGATCTGAGGATAAACAAATCAATGGCTTATATTCAGTGGAACTTAAAAGCACGAACTGAGATTCATCGGATGCAGCCAGGTACGCATCGTTATTTGTTCTTTTCGGTAACAATTCGTTTCTCATAGACAGCTCTTAAATAGCGGTTTCCGAGGTGTGAGCAGCCGAGGGCGGGTAGGGGACATCCATTTTTTTTCAGTACTAGACAGCCCTTTAGCTTGAAAAACGATCTAGCTCAGTCACGGCAGAAGGGAGAGGATAGATAGACGCCTGTCTGGGGCGGAGAGCCTGGCTCGGCCCGGAAAAATACCGCGAGCATTGTTGGAAGAGGACCATAGATTGGCAACGTGTTGAACCTCATTCATTCTTCGTTTGCCATCTACCTGTATCCCGTGTTCCTGACGAGTCATTGCTAGCTTGAGGATATGTACATATTGTGTAGGCCTACGCTACGCCTCAAGGAGCCTTATGGTAGCAATTTCAAGTTGCACCTACGCTTCACGGTGTGGACACGGCTGTCGGCGAGGGCTTTGGCAACTGACAGTATGATCCGGATCACACTTTTAGAATGCTGCAATATTGCCCGTCGGCTTGCTCTTGCCCTCCGCTCTCATTTCCAAGTACTATCTCTGCCACAAGTCTCTCGCCTGCGTCGCGACCGGCTTCATCGCCTTCGCCAAACCCCGTAATTTTGTCGCTGCGCGTGTGGTAACCTATCTTGTACTACTTCAATCAGACGAAAAACGCCAACAAGTGGATCCCGAGCAATGTCACCTTGTCGACAAAATTCTACACTACGAGTCTAGGCTACTGGAAGTCGTCTACGGGATGAATGGACGAAAGTGGGATGGATGACGATAGGCGTGCTTATACAGCGCAGCAAGTGTAGTCTTTGCCAATCTATCCTCCTCCTCCTCCTCCTCCTCCTCCTGCACATCGGTTGCGGCGATGGGTTTCAGCCTGTTCACCTGCCCCATTCACAATAGTGGTGGGTCGGGGACGCTGTCAGCCCATGCTCATTGTCCAACAAGCTTTTCCCCCATCTATTACTGAATCACTCTACTGGGGTCGCATTCGTACTATTTGATGACTGTCAGTAGTAGAGGCCTTGTGTGGACACCTCAGGCTGTACCGGGTTGGGCGTCATGTGGCTTAATTTGCACCGTCTTTGCTAATATATTCTCCTCCATCTATCCATTTTCGCATTGCCTCGCTCAGATGGATGAATTCACCCCATGCAGGATTGTTTCTGGTTGATTCTACTACTGTATAGGTCACGTAAATTTGTTCCTACTTGCCGCTGCCGAGGCCTCAAGCTTAACTTAAAGCCTCCGAGTCATTATAGCTTTTTCACTGGCAGAATGGCAATATATCCTCTTTCCTTCAGCCAGCTGCTCAAACACTCTCGTAGGACGCGTCATTGAGAAGATGTCTCTGGCGTGATAAGGTAGCTCTCCTGCCTTGAGTCTCCAAGTCCATCGCTACATTCGAAGACATACATGGTACGTGAGTACTTTTGAGTCTTCATTTTTGTCACAAATGGCTCCTTCTTTATGCAGACGCGAATTAGTATACATTCGATACCACTAGCTCTCTGGCATAGCGAACAAGTGATTAGAAGTTGATGACTACTTTCAATGCTTTGTTCTCTGCTGCTGCCTTGAAGGACGCATACGCGGACTCGATGTCTCCAAAATGGAAAGTATGAGTCGTCAACGACTTTGCGTCCAATTTCTTCGTTTCCAAGAGCTTGATTATCATGGGCGAAGTTACAGCATCAACGAGGCGTGTCTTAATGGCTGATAGTACATCTTACTCAGTATATTCAAGTTTCAGCTAACTGGGCCAACTTACCAATATTCCTGTCCCACAGCTTCTCCAAGTGCAGATCAACCTTTCCTCCGTGAACACCCAGATTTGCAATTGTCCCACCAACTCCAATAAGCTCCTGGCACAGCTCAAACGTCGAGGAGATACCAACAGCCTCGACCGCTGTGTCAACGCCATTTCCTTCGGTAATTTCCATGACCTGTTGCACCGTAGTCGGACCCGACTGCACAATATGAGTTGCCCCGAGTTTCTTCGCTGCCTCGAGCCGCTCTGGGTCACGATCGATAACAATGGTCGTCGACGGCGAGTATAATTGCGCCGTAATCAATACCGCAAGCCCAACAGGTCCCGCACCGACGATAGCGACGCTGGACCCAGGTCGCACTTTCCCATTGATCGTCCCGCACTCGAGTGCTGTGGGTAGCACATCACTGACCATCACAAGCTCGTCCTCATCAGCACCAGTCGGAAGGCGGTATAGCGACGCATCTGCATGCGGGATGCGCACGAACTCTGCCTGAGTGCCGTCGATGGTGTTACCGAGAATCCATCCGCCCGTCGTACAGTGCGACGCAATTCTCCGCCGACACATGGCGCATGTCCCACAGGAAGTAATACAGGAGATGATGACTCGGTCCCCGGGCTTGAACATGGACACACTCGTTCCAACGGACTCGATGGTGCCGAGACCCTCGTGCCCCAGGATGCGGCCGGGTTGGACGCTAGATACGTCACCCTTGAGAATATGAAGGTCCGTTCCTGGATATAGGTAAGCAAGCTACTGCGCTCCGTTCCAAAAATGGTGCTCACCACAAATGGTAGTCTTGGATAACTTGACGACGGCATCAGTGGGTGCGGACACCGTCGGCTTAGGTCTCTCGACGACCCCGCATTTCTCCTTCCCGTGATAAACGAGGGCCCTCATGGTTGCGATGCTGCGTCCTGAGCACTGAGAAACCGATGAGTGCCTTGACGCACCAAAGAGCTTTACGCTACCCACTAAACGCCAGACAGCCATCCTCGAGAGAGGCGATACACGCGCACACCGTGCTGTCAATATTATTCCCCTGTGAATCCTAAGAATATAGATCAAAATGGTGACTTCCTGAAACAAGAGCGAAGACCCTACGTTGCAAGTGTCATCATTGAGTGCGCCTTCCAGGTCACTTTAGAGAGGGTGTCAAGTGGAGCGCTACACCCTCAAACAAAGATATAGATGTAGGAATAGGAGGCGTGCGTCAATTCTTGTTGATGCAGGAGGGACGCCAGACCTGGAACCTTACGGGTGTCGGGCGAGGCCAGTCCGGAGATGACCAGAGTACAAACGTCCACTAGCCTAGGTCATACGGAAAACTAGGCTGCAACCTCATCCGCAGTTGAAATGTATCTATCCACTACATGAGATAAGCTCGAGGACAAGGTTATTAATCTCGATCTTTAGTCCAACATTGAAATTGGTTTGAACTTTAAAGGGCATATATTCACGTGATCGTGACGCAGCGACTCCGCACGCGGTCACTACTATGAGTGGCACGCGCTGGGCTCCTGCCTTGTCACTCGAAAAAGTCTCAAAATGTTATACAAACTACTTAAGTATTATTTTCAACAGTTTTTCTATTCAGGATTGTCAATATCATGCAGCAGAAAGAGGGAGCCATTGAAAAGATGAGCTTGCCGTCGCGAGATAGACGCCCATAGTCACTCACGCAACCTTTTCGCATGCGGCGAGCGCTACTCGGCCGAGCTGGCACAATGCCGGATGATTCCGATGTGACATTTTGTGATCCGAGATTGAACCACCTGAACTTTTCGTACGCCGGAAGACATCCGCAAAAGGATATCAAACATGTATTAGTTTTATAAGTAGCTGGGGAGACAGAGGAGATGTATATGCACATTTTCATATACATTTTATGTCTGAGTATGGAGTAGTTAATGAAAGACAGGTTGAATACTGAAAACTGTCATAAAGTGTGTGCCACTCACATCAGAAAAACATGCATGTTATTTTTTTCACTTTTTCGTGCTTGTTATGCTTTTATGCTTTTCTCAAAAAAAGAAAGCGCATAAAGCATAAAAAAAAGCGCAAAAAAGCAAAATGTATGTTTTCTGATGTGACATGCAAAGGACATGACAAAATTGAAGGTTGCTCAAAGGCTGCCTATCTTCTATGTTCGTTGCCCAAATATAACATTCAATGCCCAGGTTCCAAAGATTGAGAGAAAATGTGATTTCTTCCAGTGCATGTCCAGCCCCTATTCTCCTCCATAACACTGTGTTTTGCCTATGGTGGCAGCTTCAAGTTAGTTGATCTTGAAGTCTTCTTAGCAAATAGTACTGCTGGTACATCCTCATATCATAGTTGCGCAACAAATTTTGTGCCGGTATAGCGTGCATACTCATCCATGATAGCTCGGCAGTGCGAGCTGCTATAATAAATGGGGTTTCTCGATGACGCCCGATACCCACAACTAGTATCATGGCCGATGCAAATCATATTTATTATACGGGATGTTCGCGAAGACCACAGAGGACGACCAAGAGAATCAAGAGAATCTTTCGCCACATCGTGCCTAAGTCTCCTTTGAATCAGACCCGATGACGATCAGAACTCGACGACTCGTTATTCATCTGCGACAAGAATAACGCTCTTCCCCTTGTTCTGCCCAGTCTGGACGTCCACGATCGCCTGGCCCACACACTCCAAACCACGCTTCACGTCTTCCTTGTATTTGATCTCTCCACGGGAGATCATTCCCGGGATGGTCTTGTAGAACTCATCTTCCCATTTGGTGAGCCAGATCACGATGAACCCGAAGAGATGAATGCCTCTCGCGAAAATCTTGTCGAGGTTCTTCACGTGGTACGATTCACTATTGTAGCCGGAAATCATCCCGCATTCCTAGATGTGCTATAATCAGATTGTCTCTAACGTGGCAGTGGCGCTAGGACCTCACAATGAAGCGGGCGCCTGGCATAGCTGCATTCTCGAGTGCAGCTTCGAGACTCTCGCCACCTACGTTGTCCCAGTAACTGCAACATAGAATACATGATCAACATAGCCTCTGTCACCGCGTGTTGGGGATGACGTACATATCGATCGGCCCCTCTTTCTTTAAGACATCAAACGTATTGGTGGTTTTGTAGTTGAAAGCAACATCCACACCAATTGATTTCATGAAAGCGACTTTCTCCTCGGACCCGGCGGACGCAATAACTTTAAGACCCTCGGCCTTGGCCAATTGAACAACAGTCCTAAGTTAGTGGGAGCCATGTCAAGATGCAGGCTCGTGTATGAAGACATTCGAACACCTACGCGCCAACGGGGCCTAATTTCCGTTCCGCATTTGTAAGGTCGTGACGCTGATCCTTCGTGGAAACTGCTTACCTGCACCTGTAGTTACGAAGACCACGTCGCCCTAACACCGAGCAAGTGGACTCAGAATATAAGACCACGTTCTCAAATTACTGACTGACCTTTTTCGGATGAGCGTACTCCTTCCATGCGTGATGAGCCGTTTGTCCTGTATGATACATCATCGTCGTGCAGCGTACAATTAAAATGACGAATACGCACCTGGCATACCACCCACGCCAACATACACTGACCACGGGAGTTTCTCCTTGTTCTCTAGCACACGAAAAGAGTTGGCGTCCTTTGAGACGAAGTATTCTCGGAAAGCTAAATTATAACAAAGCAGAAGAACTGGTGGTTTTCGTAGGAATGTAGGAGAAGGACTTACGGTACATGCCATACAGGTGATCTCCGACCGAAATAGTGGGATGTTCAGAACGAAGAACAACGCCGACACCAAAATTAGTGAGCCTACGGAATCGGAGGGTCAGCAAGGGAAGTGTTGAAACATTGTGCAGAAGGGGATGAAGTACGTACGGCTCCCCCTTTTCAAATGCAGGCTAATATATCAAATGTTAGCCTATATAGCCGACTGGTCAAAGCATGGGTAGACCGCTAAGGCGCACCATATAGCTCTTGATGCTAGGATCTCTCATTCGGCCCCGCATGTACGGATCGATGGAGAGCACCAACGTCTTAACGAGAAAACCGCCATCTAGCGGCGTCTTGTCAAGGTCAATATTCTCGGAGGCATCAAACACAGTCGTCTTTCCCGGTTCAGGTAGACCTAATCAGGGGTGTGTCATACATAACGGCTCTTCTTAAATACAATGTAACTCACCCTTGGGGATTTCATTGAAGATTACACGCGCGTTAGTGAGGGGGGCCATATCAACTAGTTTTGCGATGGTGAGAATGAGTGCGAAGCCTAACCTTTCAGTGTACCTCCGACAGTATTTATACTGCCCATCACAGAAGTATTAGGTTCCCGGGGTGCTTGATGGCCCAGGCTCGCGGATGAGCTTGCGGGTTAGTAAGTTGCTGACACTCCTATATGCATGTACGTTGTTCGGGGTAGTTCGGGCATGGCGTGCGTTCGCCGAAAGAGGAGAAACACCACTCAATGGCAGCAACACAATTTAGCTAATGCACCTTGTAATCAACACGGTCAGCATCGCGGCACATTCGAGAAGTTCTTACGAGATATGTGCCTAGTGTGACATAGGCTCTACTCTATTGTTTTCCTGCTACATGTCAGTTGTGAAGATCTCGTGAACAAATGGCAGACAATGTGATTTTGATGCAAGATCTGCTTTATTGTAGGCTCACTAGTCGTTAGATGTCCAACGGAATGCGTATTGCTTATCAACGTGTTGAGGGTGTAGCGGGATCAGCAAGCTGACGGATAGGGGACGACGGGAGCCAAGATTGCCTTGCAGGATATGATGATATGAAGAAGTCACATATGTATTTGCAAGCATAGTACGACTACATCTACAGCTGGCAACAACTTGCAGTGAAAGCAGCACTAGATTAAGTTCCAGAAATAGAAAGAGAGTTATGGTATGCCCGTCCTGCCTTGATGCCAGATTTTCAAGCCACGTCAAGTCCCCGTTTATTTTCTTCTACTACTTACTGTATGGGTCGATTGCAATTGAGAATGAGCGCCAAGTTACTCCTTCCGAACTTGATCCCCGAGCGCTCACAGTGCGCTCATTCTCCAACACTGAATGACGTGTCCTCCAGCTTCTACGACTTGTCATGCCTTAAATATCCTCAGGTTTACATTTTCGCCGTACCTTATGCTACTATTAAATTTCAAATAGCGAAGTTATACACAAGGCTAAATATACGCTAGATCATTCATCTTGAACGAGGATGACGGTCCTCCCTTTGTTTCGTCCAACTTGCACGTCTAAAATCGCCTGGCCGACATGCTCCAGTCCGCGCTTGACGTTCTCGCTATACTGGATCTCTCCCCGAGAAACCATTCCGGGGATAGTCTTGTAGAACTCGTCGTCCCACTTCTGCAGTCGGAGGACGGCGAATCCACACAGTTGAATTCCTTGTTTAAAGATTCTGTCGAGGTTCTTCACATAGTAAGGCTCTTCGTTGTAGCCCGAGATCATCCCACATTCCTGCGGTATGCAGTCGTCAGCTCACTTCAGATCGAACATCAGTATTGAAGACCTCACAATAAAACACGCGTCCACAGCTGCGGTCTCGAGCGCAGCTTCAAGGCTTTCGCCGCCTACATTGTCCCAGTAACTGTGACACGAGATCCCGAGTTAGCGCTATCCTTCCGGCTATACTAGATGAAGGAACGTGCATATTGATCGGTCCCTCTTTCTCCAGGATGTCGAGCGTGCTGTCTGTTTTGTAGTTGAACGCAACATTCGCGCCGATCGACGATATGAAGGAAACTTTCTCTTCAGATCCAACAGACGCGATAACTTTGAGGCCTTGCATTTTCGCAAGCTGGATGACAGTGCTAGATTCGGACCCGGTGAGACATTGTGTCTGGAGATTGGGACGATGCACTCACGCGCCAACAGTACCTATGTTTCCCGATAATATTCGTGAGAAATGGAAAGCGGTCATATACGGGAAGCTCATACCTGCGCCTGCAGTCACAAACACGACGTCTCCCTGATACCATGTCACTAGAGTTATGACGTATATATCCTATCATTGTTTATTCACCTTCTTTGGGCGCGCGTACTCCCTCCATCCATGATGCGCCGTCTGGCCTGCGTTGCAAGTATGCGTCAGCGTTTTCAAGAAAGAGGCAAGCACAGTCATTATATGTACCGGGCATGCCACACACGCCGACATAGGTAGACCACGGCAGATGCTCCTTATTGTCTAGCACCCGGAATGGTCCCGGATCCTTCGAGACGAAGTATTCCTGGAACGCTTTTTGAAATCTATGCGTAAGTATTGATGCCAATTCGGCAGCAGCTGGAAACCTACGAAACAACCCATACAGATGATCTCCGGCGGAAACAGAGGAGTGTTCAGAGCGGAGGACGACCCCAACACCGAAGTTCTCCAGGCTGTAAAATGGTGGCGCGGAAAATACTGTCAGCGTCGCCTGACAACCAATATCATACGAAGGTGAGACTTAGTTACTCACGGCTGACCCCTTTCAAATGCAGGCTAAGATGTTGAAGGGTTATGTGAAAGGCGCTGCGCAGCTAAACCATAACTCGAAGGCGTACCATATAGCTTTTGACAGTACGATCTCTCATCCTGTGTCTCATGTACGGATCTATCGCAAGGACTAACGTCTTGATAAGGAAGCCGCCATCAGGCAGCGTCTTTTCGACGTCGATTTCCAAGGAGGTGTCGTATACTGTCGTCCTCCCGGGTTCAGGGTAACCTGCACAGGGGCTCATAAGCCATGTAACTCCTTCTGATGTAGTATATGACGAGAAATCCTCACCTTTGGGGACATCGTTAAACAGAACTCGCGCGTTCGTGACTATGGGCATCATTCACTGCTTGTACCAGTAAGACGAGGGGCGGGTCAAAACTGCCACATTCTACCCTTACATTTAAATAGGCATAGAAAAGCTCGTCATAAACTTATCCCTGTTCGTACCCCTAGGTATGATTTGCAGCTGGGGTAATGACCAGCGCATATGAACGGCTATCGACGTCAGTTCGGGGCCTGGTGGCAACGCGATGAAAAAATCTCATCTCAACTTGGCCTGGCTAATCTATGCTAAGTGCGCAGCACACTATGCGTTGAAGCTAGATCCTCGCACTCAATTGTGTATCAGTTCTTGCGATGATCAGTTAGCGAAGCATCCCGGTGCAATCGAGAAAGTCGGAGCACCAAGCTTGTGATTCCTATGACGCTGTCGTGGTGTGTGGTAGGATTGTCAAGTCAGTATAGATAGGGAAGAGGGGAAGCCAAGCCTATCAGATGACTTGTGGCGCGAGAAGGAATTATTATATTGAAAATGCAACTAACAAGATATTGAATGAGTTGAGCCCACCTCAGACAACAATTGACTTCTCACAGAGCACCTGAAAAATTCGTAATCAATGACCCTCATTTCTTCACGTACACGACCCACTCCTCCCAACCCTGCGCTCCATCCCACAACGCCGTGAGCCCAGCTTCTGTCAAGAAACAATGGTCTTCCCATGCAAATCCCGGAAATACAACCTCAGTAATCAAACACCCGACGCTGTCCCGGGTGCTAGCGCTTTGTGAGCCAGTAGCATTTGATGCAGAGATGTCATCAGCAAGGAGGCGAGACATCTTCCAGACCCCAGAAGGGACGAGTAGCTGGAGGACCTCGCCCGAGTGAATGTTCGGCCCCATAACCTGACAGATATCGTGTAGAAGTGCACGAGAGGGGTGTTGGTAAGAGACAATAAAGACGAACCTTTTTCTCCACTCGCGGAGGGCTTCCAGGAGTGATGAGAACGTATTCTGCACGACCTTGGTGGAGCACATGCATGGTCTGCTCATTCATTGTCAAAGTGTAAACACAACTTTGAGAAGCCGACATACTGCAGATTTGTTCATGTGAAATACGCCATTGGGTTCGTCGGGCGTGAGTAGATAGTAGATGCTGGTTGCCAGAGGACGCGGAGCATTTCCTATGAAAGAGTCGGCCGGTAGCGATAATTTCAGATAGACATGTACTCAACCTGCAAATGGTGACAGAATCTGCTCGGTTTGTCTGTCCGTCTCCGCAAAATAGCCTTAAGGGACATCAGTTGCAGATTGAGAACCACTTCATGACTAGGGCTCGCAGCTCTTACCCCCTTCTGGATGTTTCGCAAGCTTGAGGTTATTTATGATCACAGAGTTTGGAATCCCATATGATGTATACATCGACTGGGTCGTGGTTGCCATTGGCTGATAATACGAAACTTTGAGCAGTGAGTTAATGTCGTAGGGCGATAGTTGATAACATATGTTCACTTATGGAAGGAGGGATATTTGGTGTTGAGGTAATGGAGCACAGATACCGACGAGGTGTGCAGCAAGATGGCAGTTCCAGAAAGGTTCCGCAGGGGTCTTAATACTTGATCGATCGCCCACAGCAATCATCTGACAAGCGCCGCCAGAATGACCCGTAACGGTTAATCACAAAACATCAGTCAAGAAAATGAATATATTACATCAGTTCATTTATGTAGAGTTGCGTACACTCAGTAGGTAGCACTCAAGGAGCCGCCTTCATATTATGAGACTGTACGTGTGCCCTCCGAGCTAGAATTTACACAACCTTCAGCTGAAGTTGGGGGATGACCGCTCGTGCTCAGCGAAAATTTGACATGCCATCGGCGCGCTTTGTAGTGATATTTCGCGTATATGTATTGCGTGTGCATGATGTTCAATGTGCGACGGACTTGCCGAATCTACAAAATGGACAAGAAGCAAGTTCATTGTGCGGTGGTACCACGTGACGGCGAACTGAGATTCATATTTCGGGACCGCACCCACAGGCGCTCAGGCGCATGAGTCGAATTGGATAGCTGCAGTAATTACAGTGAATACAGTAGCGCAATTAGAACACACCAGAAACACCATGGCGACCCCTCTTGAACATGTCCCCACCATCGATAACCCTGAAACCATCGCAGCCATTTACCCTCATTTAGGACCAAAGCACTTCCCTATCGTCCTCAGTCAGATAGAGCAGCGCGTACAACTTGTGAAATCATGGGGAATTCAGTGTGGAGAAAATATCAT